AAAAAATAAAAAAAAAAAAAAAAAAAAAAAAACCCTACCCTACCCTACCCTACCCTACCTACCCTCCCTCCTCCTCCTCCTCCTCCTCCCTCCTCCTCCTCCTCCTCCTCCTCCTCCTCCTCCTCCTCCTCCTCCTCCTCCTCCTCCTCCTCCTCCTTGCTCTTCCACCTCCACCCTTCCCCCCTTCTCCCCTTCCCTCATCCTCTTGCTTCGCGTCCTGCTCTTTGCTTCTCCCACCATTTCTTTCTAAGTCTCTGGCAGGTCAGGAGGCAACTCGATCTCCGCTACATTACTCGCCTAGTCATACAGGCAGCCGGAACCTCCTCCCTTGACATCGACTCCATCACTCTCCTCCCCGAGCCTCCTTACCAGCAGCTCTTCAGCAGACTCGTCCTCCTCGACCTCCAGCCCATCACTGGCCCTCTCTTCACCGGCTTCGTCCCCCTGACGCAGGACGACTGGTACTCGGAAGCTCGAGGGTACGGGATCTCCCTGGGGTCGAGGGTGTGGAGGAGCGAGGACAGGAGGCACCCTGACAACTTGCTGCGAGACTGGATATCCTTCGAGCAAGGGGGAGTAAGCCTGATGCTTCCTCCTGCCAAGTATCATGTGTGGATTATGATGGAGGATGCGGGATACTGGGAGTACTTCCCCAACTACCAGGACAGGAGGGTGTGGATAGAAGGAGAGCTCGTGTACCAGGATGGGGAGGACGCAACCGTCTTCTGGAGCCGCTACTACCGGCATGAGGAAGAAGAGGATCTGCCAGGGGACGATGTGTGGTACAAGTACGTGAGAAAGTCTAGGTTTGTTCCCCTCCGCTTCAACGTGACGTGTACGGACGGTCAGATGGACATTCAGTTCGCTGGGTCGACGTATGCGTGTACTGTATCGGCCATCATTGTGTTTCCTGTAGAGGAATATGAGAAGGGAGAAACCTTCCTTGCTGAGCTCTGGGAAAAGCTCAAGTTTCAATTCTATGTGGAATACCAGGAGCAGATCAGTGCTGTAGGACAAGGGTCCGACAAGTTGCCGGTGATGATGATGATGATGGAAGGGGTGATTATGGAGATGGAGATGGAGATGGAGATGACAACGATGATGGTGCTGGTGGTGATTGTGGTGCTGGTGGTGATTGCGGTGGTGGTGGTTGTGGTGGTGGTGGTGGTGATGACGATGATGAGGATGACGATGATTACGATGTTGGTGATGATGGGGATGATTACGATGATGACAGGAATTTTCATCCCCCTTCCTCGTCTTTCATCGTCGTTTCAACGCCTTGCTAGGAGCCTTTGAGCCGCCGCTGCCGTCGGAAGTTCTCTCAGAGCAGGAGGCGATCAACGTGTCGGTGTCAGCTGCAGGAGAAATTTCTCATGCTTCCTTCTGCTTGCACGCGCTGCAACAGGCTTCTGTATCCTCCTACTCCTTGCAAGGTTTCGAGGGGCTCGACCTTGAGGTCTCGTGGGTTCGTTTCAAGCTGAAGAGGAGGACGATGGACGGGTCCATCTACGCGTTTGAACCCCTCCTCCTCGACCCCTTCCGTGAGCTTCGCTTCCCGCAAGGGATGAGCAGGAGGCTATGGATACAGATTTCTCCTTCGGCAGGAGGAGGAGGACAAGGAGGAAGAGGAGGCTGTTCAGTGAGGGAGGTCAGGGGTAGCGTCCTCCTCCTCCTGTCCAACTCTGCTCAGCTCAAAGTCGATGTTGTCGTCCGCGTTCTCCCGTTCTCCCTCCCATGGGTCGACGACCTTCTCCTCGGTTGGCTGGGAACGGCCGTGACGTATCCTCTTGCTCCGTACCCGGAGGTGCGAGTGAAGCAGAAGAGGGAGATGAACGAGTCGATCGAGCTGCTGCGGAGCTACGGAGGCACAGGAGCGACGGGGGGCGTAGGAGGGCCGAAGTTGGTGGAGGTGACGGCGGGAGGAGGCGTCGTGATGCAGTTTGAGGACGCAGACATGAGCATGGCGGCTATCAGAGCGAGCTTCGGCAAGAAGGAAGTCAACTCGTATGCTGGTCTTGCTGTCCAAGGAGTGAACATGTATGCGCCGACGATGTGGATGGACGCGAAGGGGAGGACGTACGAGGATGTTGTATCAGAGGTGGTGCAGCAGATTGAAGAGCATGCGAGTGAGCGCGACTGGCCGGGGCTGACGCTGAACGTGGGGACGAGCCGTCGGGATCGGCGATAGAGGACAGCATAGCGGTTGCACGAGCGATCAGAGGAGGAGGAGGAAGAAGCAGCGTATTCACTAGCTTCCATCACGTTGGGGATGCGAGAGCTGCCTTCATCGATGAAGTTGACTTGTTGATCCTCACTGAACACTCTGGTGAGTGGAGGAGGAGGAGGGGAAGGAGAAGATGAAAGCGAGGGAGACAGAGGAGGGGAGGGAGGGGAGGGAGGGGAGGGAGGGGAGGGAGAGGACTGAGGAGGAGGAGGTGAGGGTGAAGATGGGGTTGGGGGAGACAGAGGAGGGAAGGGAGGGGGGTGGGGAAGACAGAGGAGGGAAGGGAGGGGGAGGGGAGGGGTTTGTGGTTGTTTTTGTTTGACGTCTGTTGACAGAGGAAGCGATTGCGGCGATCAGGTTGAGGGGGATGAGGAAAGTTTGACACAATCTGACGGGCATACAGGAACTCAACATCTTCATGGATGACTTACAACCTCGGTGATAGGTAGTTGCTCTATGTGCGAACATGATTGATGCATCAAAGTAGTTGTGGATTTTTAATGAGCAGGAAGGGGGAGGAGAGAAATGAAAGAAGGGAGGTGAAGTTGTTGAGATGAATGAAAATGAGCATGTAGATACAGACGTAGGCTGAAGTTTGTTCCTGTGCATGAAGATGCACTGTTTGCTCTTTCAGCATGACGGCTGACTTACTTCAGATTTGGTTTTGGTTTCTATCAGTACAAGCTGCGGGCCATGGGAGGGAGAGGAAACTATCAGTTCGCTTGGTCCAGCGTTGGGGCGGATCCTTATTATGCGTTAGATGCAAGGGAAGACGACATATGTGCTGGTAAACGTATTTGTTGAAGATGATCTACATGATGGTGAACATGTTGTTGAAGGTGATCTATATGCTGTTGAACGTGTTTGCTGAGACTGTCCTCCACCTCCTTTTCTTCGTCCTTCTCTTCTTCTCTCCTCTTATTTCCTCACACAGTTTTCTCTCATTCCTCTGGTATCCTTCGCAAGACTCTCTGGCTCGAAGAATTTCGTGAGGGGATGAGCGATCTTCGATACGCCGTCCTCCTGGAAAAAGTCCTCCAGGTCTTCCATAGATCTCCTCCTCCTCCTCCTCCTCTTTCTCCTCCTCCTTCTCCTCCTGCTCCTCCTCCTACCACTGCTGCTGCTGCTACTACTACTCCTTTTCCCCTCTGCTTCTCGTTCTCCTACTCCTTCCTCCTGCTTTTATGGCTGACACAGGATCAGAACATTTCACAGCCGTACCTCAACTTCTCCTGCTCCCTCTCCTCCTCCATCGCACGCGCCAAAGAGCTTCTTGCTGTCCTCTCGAGCCTGCCCGTGGGCTCAGGAGTGCAGGTGAAATCGAGTGAGGAGAGGATCGTGGGGAAGGAGGGAGAGGAGGAGGAGGATGGAAAGGAGGTGAAGTAGGGGGAGGGAGAGGAGGAGGAGGAGGAGGAGGAGGAGGAGGAGGAGGAGGAGGAGGAGGAGGAGGAAGGGGGGAGGAGGAGGAGGAGGAG